AAATAAAATACGTGTATTAAATAGAATAATAATTAGGACGGACAACCTTGATGAAAGTCAAAGTAATCGTGATGTGGATTCCAGGGATATAAGGAATGCTCAAATCAAGATTAGAATGAAAAAGTTATGACCCGTTGAAGTTTCGTGTTCGATCCGGTATGACATCGATTGTTGTAAATAGTGAATCGAGGATAGATCGCTTATTAGCCTAAGTGATCTAAACGGAAGTTGTATTAATCGTAAAACCAAGAGCGTGCATATAGAGAATGTATAAATCTGACTTCATGATAGGATATTATGATTTTTCTAATATTTCAACGTAACTGTGTTAGCGTAGAAATAGAATTTTAGATCGGTTGATTTCTAGCCGAAACAATATAAATGAGAATCGAATATCTCATTAATAGGAGTCCGTCGATATAAATACAGTTGAAAACGGACGTCGGACGAGAGAGTTATGAATTTTTAACGGACTTTAATAATCAAAGCTTATTAAATATATAACTTTATAAATAAATTCAAAATTAGCCGACTGAGTCTTAATGAAGTTGTAGATCTCGTTGATAGTTATGCGTGGATATAAAACCCATCGAAAACGGAGTTCGTGTGAAGACGATATGAGTTTTATAAGATTTTATAAAAATCCGCGCAACTGCACGCATAAACAATATGTGCGGCACGAATCTGAAAACCCTAAGATCTCGCCATATCTCACCATTAGATGACTGCCACATCACCTACTCTAACCGTTTGCACGGCGTGTCCCTGCATGGTTCGCAACGCGCATATGCTTTATCAGGTATAAATAGCCTTCGAAGCTCTACACATTCCCCACACCTTTAACTCATTTCCCTCTCAAAATTCTTCGCGTATTAACCCACAATTCTTTTAGAATTTTTATTTCGGCGAAGCCCTGTGACCCCTAGGTGCCGACAAGTAGTAACCTTCGAGTAGAAGCTCTGTCAGTACAATTTCTGGACTTTTGTCTAGGGAATCTCTGTAAATTAAATTACGCACTATATTATTTTAGTGTAATTTATACATAAATTCTTAGTCGTTGTTATGAATTTATAAATAAGATATGTCAGTAAATCCAAAGTCATATTATTGATTGATCTACTTAAGGGAATTATGTCTAGGATGGATTTAGTGAAGTGTCTAAGTGAGATTTCAAAATAGTATACTCTGTATACCAAACAGACCCTACCTCCAATATGATCATACCTGGTTGTCCATTATCAACTATAGATCAGTAGACGTTGACATTATTGAGGAATCTATACTATCTTTAGTCATAAGGAATATTAGACTAAGACTTAGTAAAAATTATACTAGATCACATCAACGAAAAAGCTAAGTACTAGAGCGAAGCATTATCCGATTTCCAAGTCATCACATTAACAAGTGAATGCATAGTTACTTTCAACTTACACATAGATATAAAGTATTTAGATGATTAAATGTTATATGTGCCTATTAGCTGAATTACTTGACATCTGTGTTAGATAAATTCTATGATTTTTACTTGATTCAATCATATATGTATTTTCTTATATATTTATTTAAAATATATTGGGTAGTGATGGGTGATGAAAATGATGAGATGATGATGAGTGGACTTTACTATTGATGAACCAATCATCTAACAGTGTATAGATGACGACCACATATTATTCTAGATAGTATAGTGGAAACGTTGGCAGGTGCACAACCTGTAGGTGTTAGTGACTATATGTTCATTGATGTACTCTATCCCTCTCCCCCATGGTTGCATTATGGACACATGTTGCTAAAGGAATCCCCCAAGCAATATTGTCTACCCGTTGATGACGATGATACTTAGGATAGGTCCACTGAGATCAGAATTTAGGATCAGCATGTGATAAGAACGGGAATGGGTAACCGGGTAGATTATTTGATGTGAATTATATAATTAAAAGAACTTAATTATTGTAGGATGAAACCCCTATGTGCTCACCAGGCCCCAAGTCTGACCCACTCAGTTTCTTTGTATCACATGTAGCAGCACGAAGGCCCAAGGATGTTGAGTGATTTATGGATAATTGTAGGCCATAGTGTATAAACTATTGTAAGGCCTATAATATTTTCTTTATGCTTATCTTTCGGTATTAACGATGCAATCCCAAAGTTATTAATGAAACACATTTCTTCATAAATGCTTGGTAACAATATTATCACATTATTGGGAGCAAACTCCGCATTATAATTCTTTAAAATGGATACTTTGAAATGAAATAAGCATAATTAAATCGGTCTTCTTTCTAACCATGAAAATGGGGACGCCACTACATATATATATATATATATATATATATATATATATATATATATATATAGAGAGAGAGAGAGAGAGAGATAAGATCGGGTGAGGACTCGTGAGGATACCTTAAAAAATTGAAAATAAATCTAAAAAAATACAAATCATAAAATTGAGCATAGTATTATATCAGAGAGAAAAAAATTGGAAATTTTTTTTTGGATCATTAAAATTGAAGCATGGATCATTTTTATGATCAATGATTGACTTTTTATGATCCACCATTCATATTTAATGATCCAAAAAAAAAATTTCCAATTTTTTTCTCTCCGATATAGTATTATGCTTGATTTTATGATTTGTATTTTTTTAGATTTTCTTTTCAATTTTTTTAAGGAGTCCCCCTCGAAAAAAGAGTCATCACCAGAACTGGATCCTATATATATATATATATATATATATATATATATATATATATATATATATATATATATATATATATATATATATATATGATCGGGTGAGGACTCCAATTTTGGTGAGTACTGTGAGGACAAATTTGAGCCTTTAATATAAAAACTGTGGATGTGATTATTCCATATTTTTATTTTTTTAATTAAATGCATGGAGACATTTTTGAAATTAACATGAACGTTTTGTGGTTTTTCTGTTAAGGTCAAAGTTTCGAAAGGCGTGATGTTCAATTCTCAGATCTAAAACCCTGGATGAGAACTGAAGAGTAGGTTCTTCTCCTTTTCCTCAACTCTCACTCAAAATTGTCAACGGGAACTTAATATCATCCATGTAATCCTAGTTGTAATAGTTTTGTATGTTGTAATCATTCTGCGATGATGTTGTGATGTTCTGAAATTTGTTCAATCCCCAAATTTTTTGTTCATTTTGCTCGAAATCCTTCACTACCGTGGTGTTGCTATGATTTCTATCTAACTTCAACTGAAATGGCATCATGTCAGCTTTGTATCCTTATTTTCATGTTCGATTAGTGGTGTTTCATTCTAGTTTTCATCACCTGTTCATTTTTATTGTTTGAAACCCTAACTTCATGAACTTTTTTTTAACTCTTCTTAGTTTAGTTCTTTTTAAACTGTAGCGACGATTTTTTTATTATATTCGATTCTGATGATATTTGTTACTATTTTTTGTTATTTAAAGCCTTACTTTTACCAAGCTTGTGTATGAAGATTGATAAAAGCATCAAAGTGAAGTTGAATACAAGTATGCTTGCAATGTATTCGATCTAATGCATCAAAGAAACCACATTCTGAAATTTATGAATTCCTAGAGATTTTCTTTTTTTTTTTTCAATTTTTTATATGTTATAAGTAAAAACTATAATTATTTTTTATAAGAATAGTGAATGGTTTTCATGTAAATTAACTTGTTAGACAAAATGATAGATACATTTAACTTGTCAAAATAGAGTTTATATCATAACCTGATGTTTTGATAAAGGAAATCAATGCTTTGGACTTCATGAGTGTTAGATACATTTAAATTGATTTTTCTTTGAATTATGATATATATATTTATTGGATAATTGGTGGCCTGGGACAAGCTTGGAAGAAATTGAAGATGCATATACATATACTATCATCTCTTTCTCAGTTAAGTTTTCTTTGCCTCAGTAGTATGCTGAGACTTTGTCTCTTTCAAAAAAAAGTTTTTTTTGCCTCATGTATGGATCGTATATATTTTATTTCATACTATTTTAATATAATTTTAGAATTTTTTTATAATTTTAGGTTATGAATATCACATTCCACTTGTTACCGTGATGAGAGAAAGATTGAAGAAGAAAAAGGATCACATTCCACTTAATAATCTTTTGAGAGAAATGCTAAAGAAGAAAAAGTATCACATTCCACTTACTATTGTTTTAAGAGAAATGCCAATTAAGAAAAATTTAATGAGTATATTGAATGAGATTTGCTTTTAATAAGTCATATATAAGTTTGTAGTGGTGGTAGATTTAATAATATTGATGGTGATTTCGAATGCAGGTCGAATGAAAAAACAAAACAACTGGATAAGGTAAGAAAAAAAATATGTTGGTAAGATATTGTTGCCCGACTTTAGTTAATGCAAACGTAGTTTTTGAAAACTCCGGAAGGATTTTATTAATTTAAAACTTACGAGAAGAAAAAAGATTTATAGTGAAGTTCATTTGCATGATGTTGAAGTTAGAGGGGTATTGTAACACCCGTTTATTTATTAGTTAAATAAATAAATTAATGAACGAATGGTAGCCTAAAATAAATAATTATATATGCAGGGTGTTGGGATCGAGGAGTTAATTGCCACATTTTTAGAAGTCGGGGGTTAAAAGTGTGAGTTTGGGACTCATTTTATAAATATTTATGAAGACAGGGGCTCCGTGGTAATTATCGGGAATTATTTTAAAAAGAAATGAGGTGGAGGGGCTGAATATGTTATAATTAAGACATTGGGGGACTGTTTGGTAAATTGTGTACCTATGTTGTAAGGGATTTTAATGGTGAGGGTTCAAAGGGTAATTATTGGATTACTTTGAAAGAAAATGGGAAGGGAGGGACTAAAGGTGTCATTATGGGGACAAGATTTATGGGGCCGGGTATATAAGCATAACACCACCGGCCACAAACCCTAACTCTAGGGATGAATTCAGCCTCCACTCTCCCACCCTTATGTCTCCCCATCGACGGCGCCAACATGTCACCTCCGATCAGCCGCCGACGACTAGGACCACCGAAGCCAACAGCTGTGCCCCATCCTCCTGATCGAGAGAGCTGTTGGAGACCAGGTCGGAGCAAGGATCCCTAGCCGCCGCAACCATTGGAACGAGCTCAATCGCTGCTGCTTCACCGGGGGTTGCCTCTGTCGCAGCCCCGCTACCGGAAACGACGTGTTCGCCGAGATGGCCGCCAAGACCGACGATCGAGTGGGGTTTTGCTTCTGCGAGGGTCGTGAGTGACCGGAGGATCGATGGTAAGCCCATCTGCCTTTCGCCGCTGCTTTATCTCGTCATTATCAGCCACCACAGGTGGTGGCTGTGAGTTCGTGTGGCTGTTAGCTTGCTGTCACCGGAAACGAGCTCCTGAAGGCCACCAGCTGCCCACTGCCGTCAAGACCGCTGTTGCCACCTCTCCATGGTGCTGCCGTCGCCAACCGCCACCAGGAGGGTGGCTGGACTCGTTGCAAGAAAGAGATCGTATGGGTGTTTGTTATCTCATGTAGGTAGTGTTGGTTTGGCCGGAATTCTCGAGAACAGCCACCACCACCACCTCACGGTGGTGGCTGCCATCATCTGCCATCATCTGCCGTCGTCGGCCACCTTAAGGTGGTTATGTGTGTTTAATTAGTATAGTGTGTGTGTGTGTGTTTATTTGAGATTTAGCATTGTAAAGTGTAATTAAAAAAATTGGAATAATGAAATGAAACTCAAACCACCACCGTAGGGTGGTGGCTGCCGCCACCGGCCGTCGTGTCGGGTGGCGGTGTGCCTTGTTGGATCGTGACTCATTTGGAATGTTTGGAAAAAAGGACTAAGAAACCCTAATGGGCCCAATGAGGCTTAATGGACTTAATAAACCCTAATGGGCCCAATGAAGCTTAATGGACCTAAAAGCCCAAACAGATGACTAATGAGTCTAATGAACCTTAATCGATTAAAAGACATATCAATTGGGCCTATTGGGCTAAGATGGGGTTGGAAACCCTAATTAGGGTTTAGAAAACCCTAATATTGGATTTATGGGCTTGGACTTATTGAGACCCACTTTTGGGCCATTGGAATACTGGAATTGTGTGATTAAGCCCAATCACACCATATGACTTATTTAGAAGAATGATGGACTTAATGGATTAAGTCCTTAATGGGTTAAGTGAGAAACACTTAACCCTAATCGTCATTTTATGTGAAGCCCTAATTTCACATGGGTGTGTTGTTGGGCCTTCTATTGGGCCTTGATGATTGCGTTATTAATGGGCCATCCAAAGCCAAGCAAATGGACTAGAATATTTAATAGGCCTAGGGTAAGGCCCATGTAATGGGTTTGGGCCCAATTTGGAAAATTGGGCCATAGATGGGCCATAGTTTGGGCCTTAATGATTATATGATGTTGGGCCTTAGAATGAGACCATGTATAGGCCTAGGCCCAATTTGGAAAATTGGGCCATGTGTTGGGCTTTGATTCCTAATTGACTTTGGGCCTATGGATTGGGCCTTGGGCTTGAATAAGCCAAGCTAGGGGTAATGTGGTAATTACCCAAAGAATGTACTTATGGTTATGTAGTGGGACCCAATTATTAATTGGGTGTTATTTTGGTGTTGACAGTTCGGGAATCTGTCATCCAGCAGCTGGGGTTGAGTCTGCGGGACTTCAGCAGAGTGGGATTGTGTCTACGGGACTTCAGCAGTGTGAGGTGAGTTACCTTCCAGTAGTGGTGGGTCTACGGCCACAATGCCGACCCACCAGTAGGAGTTGTATGTTAGATGATTGTCTTTGTGATATTCATCTGGTTTGCTACTACCTGATATGTTATATGCTGGCATGATATGTTATATTGGTAGTAGGGGGAGAATAGTCCCCAAGTTCGTTTGTTAGGACCAAAGGGTAGGTCGGACACCCCAGTTATGTCTGACATTATGTTATGATATGTTTGTATGCTGGCATGATATGTTATATGTGATAGTGGTAGTAGGAGGGGAATAGTCCCCAAGTTCGGTTGTTAGGACCGAAGGGTAGTTCGGACACCCCATATATGTCTGATAGTATGTTTATGTTATGATATATGTGATAGTAGCAGTAGGGGGTGGAATAGTCCCCGAGGTTCGGTTGTTAGGACCGATGGGTAGGTCAGCACCCCAGAACGGCTTGACACGGGTAGGTCATCACCCCAGAATGGCTTGACACGGGTAGGTCAGCACCCCAGAATGGCTTGACACGGGTAGGTCGGCACCCCAGAATGGTCGTACTGGGTAGGTCGGCACCCCAGAATGGCCGGACCGGGTAAGTCGGGCACCCCAGAATTGCCTGGCACTATGTATTGTATGTGATTGTATGGTATGTGGTATGATGGGGGAACTCACTAAGCTTCGTGCTTACGGTTTACAGTTTTGGTTTCAGGTACTCGTTTTCAAAGGAAAGGAGCCGGCTTGATCGCAGCGCATCACACTATGTTTTCCGCACATGAGATATTTGGGATTACACTCTGATACGGTATTATGATAATATGTCTTGATTACTGACACTTTGGGTTTGACACGAGATACTAGTATGAATGTTTTTATACTGATGGTTTTATGTAATAACTTATTTTAAAAATGAAATTTTTGGCCTTGAATTTTGGGATGTTACAGGTATGATTTGTGGTTTGTGTGTTGTTGAAGTCTTTTGGTTTGTTTTAGTTGCAGGTTATGCATAATTGAGGTCATGTGGTTTATAAACAATGCTAGAGGAATATGTTTGTGTAGGTGTTAAGAACTTGATTTATACACATTGTTAGTGTTTACTAATTTCATTGTTTTGTTGGATGATTGTCTTTTGTTTTTTAGAAATTTCTTAAGTCTCAAAGTTGCTCTTTTATTTTAATACTTGGATAATATATTGTTGGATCATAAAACTTTACGAAGTAAATATCTATAATATGTTGGAACATAAAATGTGAGTCATAAACTCCCAATCATATTTATCTATATAAAAACGTTTTGAATCATAAAACTATAAATTGTAAAAATTTGCATCATTTTATTCGGTTGTTGTGAACTTGGTTAATGTAAATTTTAGTTTTTAGTAATTAATTTTTTAATATGAAACATAGTAGTTGTATATATTATATTTTATAATTTACATCATACTTATGTTATGAATCACATATTTTAGATTTTGTTCTTATGGATCATCGTAATTATGGATCATGTTGATTAGGTTGAAAAAATAGATATACATAACATAATTGTCCATTTTAATGCAATAGTCATTATCTAATCGTTTATTTATTTATATTATTATTCTTGGGTCACAAAACTCTATGGATCATAATTTTGTGAGTGATCCAAAACATTATTTTTTAAAATATGATCATAACTTAAAAATATGACATGAATCATATTATTTGATCCAAAATATAGTTTAAGGATCATTGTCCATTCAAATCTTTAAAACAATTACATTTTAGTCTTATATTATCATATATACCTAATTATAACATCAGACTTTTCAAGACTTATCCAATCATAGAACTCGAACATACAAAATCTACCACTATGTTATGATTTAAAATGTCAATATATATTCCAACAACATTATTCATGCATTATAATGACCAAAATTTACATAACTATGACATTATACTTTCCAATATTATGACGTACGTGATCTAATATTATGATGCACATGATCTAATATGATCACACCACATTATTCATTCTTCACACATTTTTTTATGAACCATTACCTGTCATGATCTAAAAATTGTTATGATAAAAAACCACATTATAATCCAAAAACTTTTATCATCCAAATCCAAATAATTAAATTGATTTTTTGATCCAAAATTATATGATGCAAATACTTTATGATCCAAAACACCACAAATGCTCCAATATTATATCTACAAACATGTTATGATCCTAAACTCTATAATGTTCCAATCCGAATAATTTATTGTCTAAATATTTTATGATCCAATGCTACAAATAAGGTGATAAAGAAATAAATCATTTTATCTAATCTAAGAGAGCATAACAAATTAATGACAAAATGAAAAACTATTATGATTTAAATATATTATGATCCAAAACTTGTGTTATGGTTTGTAAATCTACAATGCTCAAATTCCAATTAAATTTTATGATTCATTTAGGTGATAAACCATAAAGTATGTAAAAAATGACTTGATACCAACAATTTTGATTCAAAAATGTCATAAACCATAAAAATGTTCTAATTTACATAGTCAAACCAACCAAAGATGGAAGTTAATTCAAATAAGATGAACCTCATGAGCAATAATACACCCTCACTTATGAACAATGATGTGAAATTTCAAAATAACCAATCAGACCATAAAGGAGGCTAATACATACAAACTTATGCATACATATGGAGTCGAATATATATATATATATATATATATATATATATATATATATATATATAATATATATATATATATATATATTTTTCCATTTGATTTATGCTCAATTGGATCATGTCTATAAGAAGATGAAGACCCAATAGTTGTTGATGATGATCCAATGTTTCCTTATGAACATCCAATATTTCCATATGAAGATCCAATATTTCAATGTTTAAAAAAACAGGTTATAAAGAAGTTATTAATAAGAAAAAATACCTTTAATATTTTTCATTATGTTGTTTATTTTTTGTTTCCAATTGTATCATCATCAGTATCCAATATATGAAGATTTTATATCTTCTAAATCTTGATCTATCATTGATGCTTTTTTTTTGCTAAACAAAGAATATAACACAAGAGTTAGTATCATTACATAAAGTCTTTTAAAGTATATTATCATGTATAACAAAATTGATGGTGTGACATTTTTTCGTTATTATGTTTTAAGTAACTATTCCATGTAATGTTCCAATCAATATTTATTGTAACAGTCTAGAATTAGAGTTTGATGAACACCATCACTATTATAGAATAACTTAGTTATGAAACATCTTTCTTAATTCTATAAGATAACTAATGTAAAATCTTCTGCAATACCAAGCATACCACCTCATGGAAGCTACTACAAATAAACATATACATGCATAAAATTTTGAACACAAAAGAATCAACTATAGAGTAAGTTGAATAATCAAAACATCCATAAGATCACACCAACAACATAAAACATGTAAATATGCACACCACTAAAAGAAAATCCATCCCAAACACACCTAAATAAAAAATTAAATTACGAAAGATGAACACAACTACAAAAATCGTTAACTCTCTTAGAAATTTTATCAAATATTTGTAAGGCTTCATTTTTCATTAGTTGATACCCCTTTTATCAATTAATGTTCACACATAATCTGATTATAGGCATATGTAATCCATACAAAAGCAACATCACTAGCAAGAAAATAGAAGAAAAAAATCGTTTTTGGTTCATGATTTGAAAAATTAGTTCATAGATATAATCAATTGTTCAGAGAATATTTTGATTTTTGAATATAAATGTCAATATCAATAAAACAATTACATAGATTCACAGCATTTTCAGTTTTAATCAACATCATCATCAAAAAATTAGAACTAAAAAACGTTTTTGGTTCGTGATTTGAGAAATCACCCTCAATCATCATCTATGACATGCAATTTCAAAATAATAGATCAGAACACTAGAAGGAAACCAATTCAACAAATTATATAACATTTCAGAACCACCAGACACATATTTTTATCATGCAGACATCAATTATAGAACAAGTTGAACTATCGAGCAAACCAAAAGACTACGAATAACACGATGAAACCTGTAAATATGCACACCATCGAAAAATTATGAACTCTCTTAGACATTTCATCAAATACCTTTAAGGCGTCATTAAACATAATGTTTAGTTTTCCAATTTCCTGTATAGATAATTATCAATCACAAAAATAGACCACAAATTAGATCCTAAACTACTTTTTTTTGTTCGATCATTAGGTCGGTTAACAAAATTTTGAACTTTGATTAACTAAATCAAAATTTAGTTGAAAAATGGATTTTTTTTAACCTAAACATTCTAAAACATAGTACATACCAGTTACCTTTTATAAATCACATTTTTCAAGAAAATCCATTGGATCATATCGATTAACTATATGAATCAATATGATTTAAAAATAAACAAAAACAATATCGTTTTTTATTTGTGAATTGAAAGAGGAATTTAATGAAAGCAAATATGTAAAAGACACAGCTTTATGTTATTTAACTCATTTATGTAATTGATCTAACAAAAATAGAATTAATTAAATGAAACTAACGTCTCTTCTTAGCCCAATTTTCGTCGTTTTTGATTGATGAATGAAGGAAGACGATGAACAGTGAACTCACACATGTAGTGTCTCTTCTTACCCCAATTTTCCTTCATTGTAATACTGTTCATTTTATGGTTTAGTCAAGGCATGCCAACCCAATTAGTTCATTTTGTGCAATCACTTCATTTTATGTTTGACAGAATTACCCCTTAATGGACATAGTTAAATGAAAATTGTCCTCGCAGTCCTTACCGTTTTTCAAGTCCTCACGGGATCCAAACCCTATCTCCCTTCTCATCTCCCTATTCTAATAAAAGAATAGGTTTATTCTTCTATTGACGAGTGTTATATTATTAAAACTCCTTATTAATATTATATGTCACCTATCATGCCACTTGTCAACCTATTAATTATCCATTTTAAATTTTCTACTCTAATTATATTAAATTAATAGTTGATTCTCTATTTTAAATTTTAATTTTTCTCGCTCTAATTATATTAAATAAATAACATTAGATTAAAAAATAAAATTAAATTAATACATATTATAAGGTGATATAACTTCACGTATTTATTTAAATCAACGATTATAATTTTATATAACTAAACAAATATCTCTTAAGTAATTATTTATTTAAAATAATTGATCAATAATTTTGATTTTTAATATGAAAGTTTAATTAATTTTATAACCGTGGTTTTCATGGGTTATAAACTAATATATATATATAGATATATATATATATATATATATATATATATATATATATATATATATATATCCCTAATAAATCAAGATCTTTTTTCCAAATATAACTTCTCATTCAGTTTGACACATTTAATTTTCTTAGAATTTTAGCGTAATTATATATATATATATATATATATATATATATATATATATATAATATATATATATATATATATAAATCAAGATCTGTTTTGCCAAATATAACTTCTCATTCAATTTGATACATGTATTTTTCTTAGAATTTTAGAGTAATTAATATTGCACATGTTATTTTCTTGTGAACGCTTAAGTTATTTGAATGTGATAATTTATCTAATGTCCGTGTTCAATTTTCGATATTAACGAACTGTGATACAAACACTTGGTGGTTATAAATTGCATAATGGCTTTTAATTCTTTGATATGAGGCATGTTATATTTGGATATTGTCATTTTCATTTTAGGACCTTAATTTCATTAATTTTGAATTTTAAAAGTTTAGTTTTAGTTGGAAACACTCATATAACATCCCAAAATTCTATGATAATAAATCAAGATCTTTTTTCTGTCAAATGTTAAATTTTCGATCAATTAGACACATGTTATTTTTTAGAAGCTGTACATTTATTCTAAAAATGTCTTTGAGTGTACGTTTATTCCAAATATATCTTTCCACTTGCTTTTTGTCTTGCGATGACAATAAATAAGAGTCATTGACAGTCGTTATTGAAGGTGTGGTTGTTTTTAAAAGAGTAGTATTCAGTCATGAGTAGTTGTATGTTGCATTGTAAATAGTTAAAAGTAGAGATTGATTAAAAGTATTAATCTTAGATAATGATAGTGACATCTAATGTTGTATTCAAAGAAGTTTTTGGAAATCTATGATTCAAAACAATTATTTAAAATATTTCAATATGTTTTTTATCAGTATAAATTAAATTACTTATTTATTTGTTATTTATATTTATATGTATTTCATAATTACTTTAAAAATACTTAATATTTACACTTTGATATATTTTTTTTGTCAACAGGTGTGTAATACACGAGTTTCATACCTAAACACAATGTGTGTGTTTTTCCTGCGCATATGTGCCTGCATGTGCATGTGGGTGTATGTGTGATGTATTCCTTTTATAGTCGTCCATGTCCAAGTATTACGAATATCAATTAAGCAATGTTTCTCTCATATATTGTTCATACTCTTACATTACATTATGTATTGTTCTTGTTTACTTTGGTTCTTTATAATTATATCATTTATATTGCACATTTACTAGTCTTAAACTAAGAGAACTGGTCGATCAATGATAAAAAAAATAAGGCATACATAAACATGTTGGGAGTGGTGTCGACACCAAAGAATGGGAAAGGTCATAATTTATGGTGCAAAGAGGAGATGATGACCGGAAAAGAATTGTTTGAATAGTGTGAGGTAATACATGAAGGGTTGTAGGAGTTGGTAGGTTTAAAATTAAGCTAGTGGGGGTAGTATGAGTCACTGCTCCACTTGTGTTTGTGCTTTTGTTACAATATTTTCATATATACTTTTGTCCTCCTTTTTATTTCAGTTTTATATATTACAAGCATCTGATTTAATGTTTACTCCCTTGCTCACCACCACCCTCACCCTCCTTATTTCACCAGTGCAACTCACATTTCATGTCGGAAGTCTTCTAATGAAGCACCCTCTACAATTGGATGGAAGTATGACTTTCTACAAATAACCTCCCTTACACTATTCATATTAGATTTGCGGATTGCTGGTGTATATAATACTTATACCATATACATATAATTCTAAAATTGAGAACACGCCTTAAGACCTTTGGATCTCTGTAACGATCCGAATTCTTGCCTGTCAAGCACATGGAACCTAAAGCCTTTTCCACAACTGAAAACCCAGAAGTAAATGCTCTTTTTGCTGCATTATGTACAAGTCAATACATCATCATTACTTTATACGGCTTTGTGAGAATAGTACCTACAAAATTATCAATAACCTGCAATGCATTGGAGTAATTTATGGAAAAAAAGCGAAGGTAAAAGACAACAGACTTACTTAAAATCTCCAATAAACAATTTTGAATTTCAATAAAAACAGTGAAGGCATCAGGTATGTAACAAGTGTTTATTGATAATAACCCCACTTACACAACTCCTCATATTTAAGCATAAATAACAGTGCATAATCTCAAGTTCAAACTCTCACTATAAAAACAACACTCTTAAACAACAGTATCCCAACAGATAAAAAAAAAAAAAAGCAACTCTATGAACTATTACAAGAAAACGAACCTTAACTTTAAAATATCTACAACTATTTTTCTTCTTCTTTTTTTTTTTAATAAATTAAGTATAAGTAAGGCCATACCTGTCAACCATAAAGGCAAAAACAACTTTACTTTAGCTAAAAAGTATTCATGTCACAAATGCTTCTCTCTTTTTTCCTTATTATTCTGCTCTGTTGACAGTAAAAGTCACAAAACCTGTCATCAAATTTATGATCTTTTTTGCCTTTTTGGTCCATTAGCATTTTCTGTTGCTGATTTTCCCTTCTCCCCTCTGAATACCAGATCTTCAACATTAATCATATACACATTTTCGGGTCCTGGTGTACTAAAATCAGCTGGGTTTTTGTTAATTGTACAAATCTCATGAGTCCCAATTGGCTCAATTCTATCTCTTAAAGTGACACCTTCACTTCGATCTTCACTCACATGACATGGAACAGGAAAAACATAAGATTCCTCTCGTCTGAAAACAGAAGCTGAAGCTGAAGACATACCTCTTGATTGACTGGAAGTCAACTTAACATTTTGACCAGTTTGAAACCCACAAGGAAATGAAGATGACTGGACATACCTTGGTTTTGGGAACTGAGCATTGGGTATTGGTATTGTTTTTCCATTGATCATGTTTGAGCTACTGCAATGAGTGTAACATGGAGAAAGTGGTTTTGGAAGCTTTCTTTCATCTGTATTATTCACCCGATGATTTGACTTTCCTGCATCCATTAAACTAAGTAATTGCATCGCAGGGATTGTTTCATTTGGATATGAAGAATCTAACGAATGTATCTTTTTCAGATGATGTTGTTTGGATGATGTCGGATTTAAAGATTGGAAACTGTTTTGTTCTTCAATAACATTTGGAGCCACAACATTCAGATCCAAATCCATGATTCCCTTTTGATTATCTTTCTCTGAGCATTTTGTATATCCGTTGGTAAGATTTGGCTTAAGAAACTGGTAAGAGACGAGGGGTGGAGTTTTCTTTTTCTTCTTTGGTATTGGTATACAATTGTAACGTGAGTTATTGTGTCTCCAATTTCCATCAAACTCATTGAAGTCAAGAAGTTGTTGATTGAAGAATCCAGAAGCTTGATTTCTCATGGTGGTGGGACCCATATTGGGTTTCTCACTCGTTGAAGGGTGGAGATCGTCTTGATGTGATGATGATGATGATGATGTCATATGTTTGTGAATGTTGATATTATGTAAACCTGATACATTTGGTATGAAAGTGTTATTGCTACTACTACTTCTAGCTTCACATAAGTTTCTCTCGAATTGATTTTTTGCCAAGAGTTCAACAACTTCAGTTTCATCTGATCTCCCCAACATCACCATTGATCCTTTTCTTTGACGATTATAAGGCCCCATTACATCTGAGTATCCTTTAACTCCAGTTTTCCTCTTGTGTGGATCAGAGAAATCCTATAAACAACATAAACTTAAAGCAAACATATCATATCATTAAAGCATTTAAAATACAAAAAAATACTAAAAGGCCATACCAATTTCTGATGCCCAGAGAAACTCCCGTATGTATAGGGCTGCTGTACTGGTTTAGTAGCAATAGCATGTCCCTTGCTGACATCATGAACTGATCCCTTTTTTGATTTTGAATCATATGGAATCCAATTATGAATTCTTGATCTCAAATCCCCAAAGAACAAATTATCTTTTCTATGATTATCTTTGGTGAGAGGACGATTGATCAGTGTTTGTGGGTCATGATTTAAAGAAAGATTAAGCCCTAATTCCGTTTCTGACTTGCCATCTTTTGTTCTAGAACAATCATCTACATTTTCTCTCCTTGAATATTCCTCTACAAAAGATTTACTTTTGAGAGAATATTTTGACATATTTAAAGAAAAATTCAACTTTTTCTCCGGATGTGCCTTGAGATCTTTTGGTCTAGAACAACCATCTACATTTGCTCTCCTTGAATATAATTCCTCTCCAAAAGATTTACTTTTGAGAGGATTTTTTGACATATTCATAGAAAAATTTAACTTTTTCTCCGGATGTTGTGGGGCCATGAAGTTTGAGTGGGGTCCGCTTCCTCTGTCTTTTGAGATATCACAAGTTGGTTTACAAGCACCACTGGCAGTAGCACTGGTAGTAACAGGATTGTCTGTTTTAGTCATATCACTGAATATTGACCTCCAAGCAGTTACTGGATCACTACTGAGCTTACCAACATTGGAGTTCTTCTGAGTCCTATTATCGTTTGGTGTATCTTCAGTGGCTTCTGGATCTTTAGAATGTTGATCAACAATGGTGGTTTTTGCAACTGCAACTGCATTCCCTTTAAAGGTCTTTGTTTTTTTACAAGCATTCACAGGAGTGGTTATATCAACAGGTATCTGATCTTGATCATGTGGCACTTTCCTTTTAATCAAGGAAGAAGTTGGCAATGGATTACATGGTTTTGGATCCAAGTCAGTATTAGAATTTTCCTTTTCTCTTTGCTGGATTTCATTATTTCCACACAGCAACTCCTTCAATAAACGCACTTTACGAGCCTTTCGTCTTGTATGTCCATTTGATTGATCATTTTGCTGACTGGATTGGATTGGAGTTCCCACAACACCAGTTATTGTCTCTATTACTACATTATCTTGCTGTTGATACTCATCATCTCTCCCATCATTGCTCTCTTTCCTACATAATAAACCTGCATTCGCCTCTGAAGCAACATTGGTGTCACTAACTTTAACTGGTTCTTTAGGAACTGCGTTATCAACAGGGATTTCTTGAGAGTGTTGACTTTTATTGACTCCAAAAGCATGAAGGACATTTTCATCATCATCATCATTATCATTATCTTTCGTATTATCAACAGACTTAAGACCTGATGAATCAAAGAAAACTATTTATGCACAGAAATTAAAATGACCTGTCAAATATTGATGTTTTTACTACTATATAAAATGGAATTTACCTGAAGTGCCTTCACCAAAAGGGAGCACTGCTACTCCACAATCTTGTTGAGGGAAAGACCTTACACATGATCGGATCATACTTTGATCACACACAGAGACTACTGGAGTCTCATGTGAGGTTTTTGCATTTCCACAGTTATGCACACAACTTTGACAAAGCCAATATTTAAAATTTGGGACATCCATAGGAGGAAGTGCTTCAGCAAAAGGTAGGAAGTTGCTGCTACCTTTTTCACGCATCCCAGAAACATAACCTCTGAGAGGATAATAAATAAAGTTTGTTAAATACTGGAGAATGAAGTATAATGCAGGATCAAACAGGAAGAGTTACCTTATAGAAAAATGGCTACATTTTTCAGCATCACCCTTCTCCTTGACAAAGCCAAGTTTGATACATAATGAATCAATCTTAATGGTGGAGCTGCTGGAGTTTAGTACAGAAGAAGCATTGTTCCCTTGGGCATCTACTGGGAAAATTCTCTTTTCATCATGGCTATTCATGTTTAAGATATCACTGTAACAAGAGAGCATCAAGTGTGATTAAACTCTCATGCATGTTGTAACAAGTCCATGAAAGCTTTGGCTTGAACTTGATAACATGTAGAAAGATTTTAGGTTTGCATGAAGGTCTGTGTGATCATAGTAAGTTCATAATGAGCCTACAAATGATATAACATGCATGTACAATTTCATTGACAATGACCAGCCTGTCATATCAGAAACAAGAAAGCCATGCATTGCAAAGTTAACTACAGTATAAAATCTAAACCATGGTTAATAAAATGCAAAGTAAAACTCGACTATTACAGCTCAACTTAACCATGGCCACATATATCATAAACAGAAGAAAATAAATTGGTAAAACTTGATGAAACCAAATTAAAATTTCAAACCAAATCTGTAATTCTAAGCTGCTAGCTAAGCTTAGTTCAACCTACAAACCCCAGAAACAACCACAGAATTTAACCTTAAAAGTTGCATTATCTATTAGTCAAACGCTTTGACTAGAGACTGTGGACCACAGACAAATTGACTTGCACTCAAAAATTAACTTTCCTCAGACTGAGATTGTAAAACTATTTAGATAAAAAGCTCCTACATGTTCCATTGTTCATAGTCATTTCATGATAAGCAAGTGATATACCCAAATGCATGCCAAAGCTTCACAGTGAGCTAGCACAGCATTGCACAAGAAACGATGATGCAGAAAGCCAGAAACAATGCCATAATTAAAGCTAAAGGAAAACAAAGTCACATACATTAATAATAGAAAGCAAGGAACAGTAATTAGTGAGAAAAAGTTAAAATTCATCCAGTCCATCACATGTACAGCACCTAGTATACGAATCATGAAACCCTATGAGTGTGAAGGAAACCAAATATTTTTAACTAACGTGCCCAACCTGTGTCTCTAAGCAGTACGTGTACGTAGCTTAATTTAATACAACTACGAAAGGTAACATCAAAAAATATTATGTGCAATATCCAAAAAGATGAACGAACCCTAGCAAGAAAGGAAATGGTAAGCTAGAAAATTAACATAGACTTGAAAGCGTAGATGGACAAATAAATAGAGTAAACAAACACCGACACAAGGAAGAAAATAGATTATCAAGTCAACCAATCAATTAGGGTTATCTCTTTCCCCGCCGCTCCCACTAAAAAAGGTAAATAAAAAGGATAAAGTTTCTACAGTTCTCGAGAAAACCCAATTCAAATTCATGCGATTAACCCCAAATTTACGATAGAAATCCCGTTTCACCCGCACAATTACATACATACAATGATTTCAGGTTTATACAATGGGTTGAATACGTAAGCTTCGGTGTCAGAAGTTCAATCAAGAAATAACATAAAATGAACTTTAAATTAAAACCCAGAAAGGATATAAACTCAATAGAACAAATCAAACATCAAAAGCAAATGAACAGAAATTACCAAGAAGATTTACTAGAGAGCGAGCTCAGATCACCAGCTATAAAATTTCCATTAAAAAAAAAAATAAAGAAAAAAGCAAAAGCAAATCAAAATACCGACAAGCAAAAACCCAACAGATCTGAACTTGAAATCTTCAACAATAACACTTGAAACTACCATCACTAGATGAAGAATCAAGAAACGAATCCGAATACCAAAACTTTACTTACAGATTTGAAGCCATTTGTGAGTAATTCGATGGCGAAACTCCCGAAAACCCTAGTCGTCACCACTTTAGGTTTCCGCGAAATAGAGAGAGAGAAACATAGAGTGAGAGAGAAGGCTGTCCTAGTGTGTGTTTCTGGAGAGAGAAACAGCAAGGCATTTTATATACTATAGTCTATCATACACGTATACAGAGAAAAACACACAGTGAACGTGTAAAGTATGAAGCTACCACGTCATCCAAATGGTGAGTGCTAGTTATTTGTTAACGCAATTACTAAAACTCTAAACCCTAATTTTGCTCACGCGCCCCGTTCTCACGCGCAATGTTAGGTGACTGGTCAATTTTCTAGTCATTTGGTATTGTCGGATAAGTCCAAAAGATGCCACGCACTTAAAACTATTGTTATTGGTTCGTGATTGCACGCGTATACAATGCCGTATGTGATGGTTTATTCTGCTAGAAGGGTTCAAAAGTTAAAATAAATTAATTGAGAAGGGCAAATGAGGTAATACAAGTACAATAATGGGAACAGTTAAAGAGGTAGGGACAATTACGTGAATTAGGGTTTTATTATTGGGATAATAACTTTTTTAACAGGATTTTAAATGTATATTTAGTTAATTATAGGTGACGATAACGTATTTAAAACAATATAACTTTTAAATAAAATAAAAACAATTTTAATTATGCTAACTTATGACTATATTTTCGTTTACTTTAATGTAAATACTACTGTTACAAATGTTTGGTCATCAAATTATAATGCAATATGATGAGTAAAATGTAAAGAAATTATTGATTCATGGATATTTATATTCGAGTATGTTTTTATTTTATTTAAATAAACAAATGTACTTGGTCTACATAAATAAAAGACTAAAGCCTTATTTTCGTGAATACCAAAAAGTAAAAAAAAATGTGTTTATTGTTTTAATTTAAAAATATACATATTTCTTTATTTATTAAAATTTTATGATATAGACGAAAAATATATTGATTTACGATCCAGATGTTAAGTGTCTAGTATTAAAACTATAACGAGATTCACACTATAAATGTTTTACATGATACGCTTTGAAATATACGTGTAAGCTTTGTTTGACAAAGCATTTTAAATAAATATTTATGGATGTTAAAATAAATAATCTTTATGTGAATATACTTTACCGAATTTTATGTAGCAACATAAACAACAAAAACAATATTGACCCTTTTTTTATACAAATAAGATAGAGGTTGATAGAACATTAATACACCCCGATATGGTCTATAGACCACTCTACAGAAGATATTTTCGACAAAATGAACAATCAGAATAAAAATACAAATAAATATAAGAAAGTAAAAGTTCTATAATTGCATCCACGTTGAAGTTATCCATGCATACAAATACTGAATTACATCAACCCATGGTGTAATATAAACCGGTATATGTTTGGTTGAAGTTATCCATGCATACAAACTAGTAAAAAAACTCCGAGTCGGCATTTTTTTAAATATTTTTTCCATCAAATTAAATGCAATAAAATAATGAAATTAAATGCATCAAAATAGTACGATTGTCATTTTATTTAATAAAGTTTGTGGTAATTAATGTTTCTTTAATATGTATGTTTTTTTGTCTGTAGACAATAATTTTGGGTCGGATGGAGTATTAATAATAAACTCTTAGAATTATGAATATAATCTACTTAATTTGTTGATTTAAATATGACATTAAATCTAAAATGTAAATAAAAATATTAAATAAACATAAAAAATAACTTAAGATTATTATTTAAAATAACTAAAAATTTGTTTAAATGTTTAAAATAAAATTTTGAATCAAATTTAATAGATTACATTACTTTTTGTTACTATTATTATTATTATTATTATTATTATATTGATATTTTAAAGAATTATCATATGATCAAAATTAAATGTAACAAACAAAATCATTTCCACCGTCATATTTGTGGGAAATGGTGTTCAATATCATTAACTATTAGTAATATTTCTGAATAAAAATATTGTCATTTTCGAATTGCCCTCAAGACACAATTGAAGAATTAAAAGAAATTGACATAAGGAGAAAATAAATTTATTAATTTATTATGTTTAATAAATTAATCATGAACTATTTTAGAATTAAATGAGAATTAATTAATTCGGTTAAATATAAATTAGTTAAAAGGTTGACTAATTGGAATATTTCATAACTCTTAGGGATAAGAAGATTTTGAAAATCTCCATCCTATATAGGATGAGAGAAGATTTTGAAATTATCTCCATCTCACATGGGATGGGAGATGAAACTTGACAAGGGCTTTAAGGCTATAAATAGGGTGTTAGGGATTTCATTCCTCCTTGCACATTGCTTGAGATTTTCACCAACTTCTTATCTTTCTTTCTGTGGGACGATTTCCAAACCCTCTTAGGGTTTATTGAGATGAATCCCACTCTTAGTTTTCTTTCAGTTCTCTTTTTGGACTCATTGAGTGTGATTTCATTAGAGGGATTCTACTTTAGGTCAACTCATCTAAGCAACCGTGTTAGATCAAGAAGGGATCAAAAAGCTTCAAGAGGGGGTCCAGAAGATCAAGATCGATTTGTAAAAGAAGTTACTAATTCTTTCTTTCTTGAGTAGATTTACAGTTTTAAAGTAGGTTGCTATAATTTGGAAAACCTAAATCCTAGGATGCATGTACACTTAGGTAAATTTTATTTATTTTTGTTGCCTTGTTAATGTGTATTGCTGTATAGAAAACCCAACAGTTGTATCATAGTCTCTAGGTTTTAATTGTATGCATTGCTTAAAATCAAAATCTAGAAACCCTGATAGTCAATTTTTTAGGATAAAGCATCTTGTTTTAAATATTATTATAATGGGTTTAAAACTGAATATTTAAATGGATAAGTTTAAATATTATTTAAATTATTTAAAGCGGAATACTCAATGTAAGATTAGTTCTAAATATTATTTAAATAAGAACTTAAATCTAAATATTTAATTAACTATTTCTGAATATTGTTTAAATTAGAACTAATTAAATCTGAATATTTAGTTTTAAATATTATTTAATTAGAGAACTTAAATTTATATATTTAAATGATTAATTAAATATTTTTAATAACGATTTAATCTAGAATACTTAAAAGGATTTAATTAAAACTTTGAGTATTATTTCAATTAGAGAATTAAATTTAAATATTTAAAAGGATAATGATCAAATTGAAAATGTTTAAATTTACCTACATATTTGTCATAACTAGCATTTGTAGCTAGGAAATTATCTCTATATGTAATCAACTCTTGATGTATCTTGTAGCTTCAAGTTTAAGGTTATACATATTACTCATTCAAAAACAACTATTTCAATCAAAACTCACTCGTGAAGCCCAAAACCTAATTCCATACACTACAATCACTCAACTTGGGTTTGTAACCCGAATTCCTGGTTCAAACTCTTATTGGACCAAGACCCTCTTATTGGGCCTAATGGACCAATAAACTCTCAATTGGATTATTTTGGGCTAAGATACTTCATTTGGGCCCTAATTGGAACCACAAGTTATTAAACTATATCATTTTGGGCCTAGAATTTCTCCTTGATTATAATGGGCCGAAAAACCAATTCTTTTACACTTTTGGTCTGAAAACTCGTGTATGGACCCAATGGGCCGCAAGCTTTCTCATTGGGCTATAAGATCTCGATTTTTATTCAAGCCCAAACATTCTCTTCTCTTTTCCTCCTCTCATTCTCGAAAATATATAAAAAAAGGAAAAGATTGTGGGAATTAATATCTTGACACCTCAATATTACATGTTGGATATCCATGACATTCTCATATCTCCATGCAACATCTTGTCTCTCTCTCTTCTCTTCTCTCTTCTTTTTCACGGCCAAAGCCACCTCCCCACCACCATCCTCACTTCATCCACAATTCAAACATCAAAAATTCTCTCTAGAACTCTCAATAAAATCTCATTTTCCCTCTCCAAATTCGTGTGTGCTTGTATGAGAGTCCAAGGATACTTCATCAAGGTTCATCATTTTGGTAAGATACTCTCTATTCAAGTGTTTAACTTCATCATAAGACAAATCTTTCACTCATTAACACTCCAAATCGTGATTCATGCTCTAAGAATCTCCTAGAATTCAAAGATCTCATCAAAGAAGTAGGCTAGGCTGAAAACATCTCCTTCACTCCACCAAAAGTGATACATCACCCCAAAGTGACTTCATACCCTTTATTTTCGGTTTTTACTATGTTTTGGGGGAGGATACAAGTTGCTTTGTGTTAGATCTATGTGTTTATGTGTGTTTTCTATGTTATATGTGGTGATTATGTGATGAAACTTCATAAATCTCGAAAACTCTACCAAAACTTGGTGATGTTTGTAAACTAACACACATTATACAACTTACTATGAAGTGAAAGGAGTAAACATGTTGTGGAACACTAGAAAACTAAACAAAACCGTTTAAGGGGCCATTTTTGACAAATAAACAAAAAAAAAGGGTGAAGCCTTTAGGACACTCACGGTTTTTCAAGGACCAAAAGAGTCATGTTTATATAAAAATGGGTCTTAAAGGTATTTATGGTTTTAAAAGGGCCAAAAGTGTTAATTTTCACAAAATGGGTTTAAAGTTGGGCCTTCACGGTTTCATGGGCTAAGTTTGTAAACTTTTGACTTTTGTGGGTTAAATTTTCATTTTAAACAAATTCGAGCCAAAAGTGTAAATTTTTGGTAAAAAGGGGCAGAAAATGTCAATTTTATTAAACTTGTGCCGAAAAGCTAAATTTCTATACATTTGGGCCGCAAATGTCAATTTTCATCAAACATTGGGCCTTAGTGGTCCATTTACATGCTTATTGGGTCTGGAATATACATTACATGTTTATTGGGCCTTTGTGGTCCATTTACATGTTTATTGGACCTGGAATATACATTACATGTTTATTGGGCCTTTGTGGTCCATTTACATGCTTATTGGGCCTTTTAAACATGAAACATACACGGAAACAGTATTTACTGCGTTACATAGAGTGATACAATATTCGCGTAAACATAGTTAAGGTTCTTGTGAGACACGTTCTTTCATTCGTACCTACCTAGTGTACAACCTTTAGTCTTGTAGTTATAACCAGAGTCTCCTGGAGGGAGAGCGAGAG